TTTATTTATTTATTTTACAAATGAGGTCATTAAGCAAAAATCATAAAAGACATACATTTTCTGTATTTAGAATTATTTGTGTGTATTATTTTTGTTTATCTTGCTGCTGTCTAGGTTTTCATGTGCGGCTGCTCTTACTTGGTCCTCTTCATGGGAAACGTCTTCACCACGCTGGCAGTGGTTTACCAGAAATACATGAACAACCAGGACAAGTCTAAAAACGTGTAAGACAGTAATCCTTAATGAGACTGTTTCTCCACTTCTCCAAAAACTCCGTCCTATATATGGAACGGTAAATTCATATAATTACAATCACTTTATGTTTTCTTAGGAGGAGCATGTGGTCTCTATTATTGTCCATGTGTTTACATATACAGCTTCTTCTATTAATTTGCATCTTTGAAGTCCCTTTCATTTCATATTTCTCCAAATGTTGGTCAGACCACCATGTTAAAGTATTGTCACAATGACTTACTTAAAAAGAAGTAATCAGATACTTTGTTGGTCTTAATAAGTTACACTGTGAGATCGTTGGGGCAGAATTATCTGTCTCTCTTGGTTAAACAGCTTGTTATTTACATTGTATTTATTTAGGAAGCTCTAAAGTTTCTCAATCCTGAGCTGCTTTGTATCTTAGCCTTGGAGAAAGTGCATTGCTGAATAAAAAACACTCCGCCATCCTCCACGTGTTTTGGGTTTTAGTACTATGCAGGGCTCATAACACACAGTGAAATATTAACTCTTTATTATGCTGCACTATTGTCTCTGTGTACATACGTGCCTCTAACGTGTCTTAGGTACAATTTCATCCTGTAGTTCTGTTTCTGACATGTGCTTTTAAACATTTTAATGTTTTTAATTTAACATTTTAATTGTAACAAGTTTAAAGGTTTTATCACTTAAGTTAGGAGCATTTTTTTTCCTTGAATGATTTATATGACAGTGTTAAGTCACTTAACAAACAAAGAATGAAAGTGATCAAGTGCAAGGTACAAATAAATTTTCAGAAAGCTTGGAGAACTATTGCTCACAAACACTTAAAGAATAAAATCGTCTGGCTCCTGGAAGCAAAAAACGAAGGATGGTTCAAGACTGTTGCAAATTTCTGTATGCTATAAAGCAAAAGGAAGCTCTCTTACCTGAAAATTGAAACTGATTGCACATTTTAATATGGTGACAGCAATGGTAATGTTAAAGTGTACAGCTGTTGTTTGAGAAGTTTTGTTTGGTACTGCAATACCTAAACTGACCACAAGACGGAAGCACTGAATTACACTAACTGATGGTGAAGACACTGGACCCAGCTGCAAAAAGACTGCATACATTATTTTTTTAATTTTTATTTTATTTTGGACAACACACCCATCTTTTGAGGTGTGATCTTTCTGTGCCTTCTGGGGCTGAACTGTTGTTTAGGTGCTGTCAACACAGCCACATTGTTCAGAATCAGTGCTTTAGGTGCAACACTGGACTCAGAGATAAAGAGTAATGTCGACAGTAGACTGAGGACTCTTTTCATCATTAGTCTGGCTTCTTTAATGCTAGTCACATGAAGATCATCACTGATAATGCTCCTTTTCAGGTAAAGGTCATGCTGTGAGTTCACCTGTGGTGAACTCTGATGATTTGATCTAGATTTGGATCTTATCCTTGATTTTGAAAATGGAAAAATGGAGTGGTTTAATAAAAAAACATGTTCTGTCATTAATATATATA